GATCTGAACTGCAAGGTCGGTGGTTCAAGTTCACCAGCTGCTCAGAAATCTTATACAGGATTGCTATGGGTCAGAACTGACTCAAAAGCACTTAACAACAACAAATATATGGTGGTGGTGGTAGTTACATGCTACGGAATAGGTTTTGACTCATAGCAGGACTATACAGAGTTTCTCTGACTGTAAATCTATACAAGAGCAGAAAACCTCATCTTTCTCTTGCAGAATGGCTGGTAGTTTTAAACTGCTGACCTGTGATTAGCAGCCTGACTCTTGGAACCACTACGCTACCAGAGCACTGGACCACAAAACCAGTTTGAGCTGCAAGGTTGGTGGTTCAAGCCCACCAGCCACTCCTCGGAAAACCTGTTACAGGGTTGCTATGAGTCGTTGTTTAGTTAACGTTGTTAAGTGCTGTCGAGTTGGTTCTGACTCATAGCAACCCTGTATAGGGTTTCCAAGGAGTGGCTGGTGGGTTTGAACTGCTAACCTTGCAGCTCAAAATGACCTTGTGGTCCAGTGCATTAACCCACAGTGCCACACTAGGACTCCACAAATCTGCAAATATATATTTGTAGGAGCATGGTAATACAAGTAGTTTGTAATTGATTGCTAACCATTAGCTTCTAACCTAAAGGTTGTTGGTTCAAACCCACCCAGTGACTCTGCAGAAGTAAAGCCTGATGATTTGCTTTCATAAAAAATTATCTCCAGCCCCAAGACCCTGGCCCTAAAACTCCTATCTTTCAGACCTGGAACTGAAGCTGTTTCTGACTATCACATTTCAAATGAACACTAGAGAGGCCCGTAAATTAAACAATAACTTCTGAGCAGGATGATTTCCTTAGAACAATCAGTTCTAAAAAATCAAGAGGACATTTGCTCCAAAGCAAACATAACAAGGCAGGAAGGGTTAGCTAATCCTGACAACAGGAACCAGGGAAGCCAGGACTGAAATGGGGAGAGAGCTGACACATTGTGGGGAGTGCAATCAATCAGTGTCATGGAGCACTTCATGTACACATTATCCAATGGCAAACGCAAACTTCACCTAAATCACAATAGTTTTTAAAAAGTAAAAATGAAGTACAGTCAAGAAATCCCCATGGAGTAGTTCTGCTCTGAAACCTATGAGGCCACAGTGAATCAACAGCAGATAACAACAATCACATACCTACATTTACAAGGAGGCTTCAAAGACTACATGGAAAAATTCTAGTAGTTTTAATTCCATTTTTCATGAACTTTTTGAAGCTCCCTGGTATTTGTGTGTGTATATCATATATTCATATTTTAGATGCATTCCTCATGCTGCTACTAGGCAGAATGATATGAAAGGACTTCAAAAGTTCATGGAAAAGTGGAATGAAAATATAAAAATAAAAAATACAAACTTTATTTCTCAACATAAACTTTATCAAGGTAAAGACACTGTTGTAAACTATGATACCAGCCACGTAGCCAATCTCTAAAGAACTTAACTATAATCTTAACTATGTCAATGTAATCTTTTATTAACTGAGGAAAAATGGGTGTGCTTTAAAGATTTTCAAAGATTAGGAAATAAAAAGAAGTCAGAAGGAGCCAAACCAAGACTGTTAAGGTGAATACTTAATAATTTCCCATAGAAACTATTTCAAAATAGCCCTTGTTCGGGAGTGGAGTGGAGGAGGGGAGGGCAACATTATGAAAACTTTTTTTAAAAATTGCCAAACATCTTGAGGGAATGAGTTTCTGGACCTGGGGGCTCAGAACCATAGTTTCAGGAGACATCATGGTACACAGACATCCTACTTTTGTGAGAAACAATTGGAATCTTAAAAGTTCATGAGCGGTCATCTAAGGTGAAACTATTGGTTTCTCCCTCTGTGGAGGAAATGGAAGTGATGAAAACTGAAGACCTTTGGAATCATTTAGTTCAATGGACTAGTAGAACATATGAACATCAGTCTTCGTAATCCAAGATCAGAAGAACTAGACGGCACATGGCTACCACTACCAACTGTTTTTAAAGGGATAACATTAGAAGGTTTTTTGATAGAGTGGGAGAGAATTATAAAAATGACCAGGCTTATTAGTCAGAAAGAGAGAGAAGGAACCTAAGACGATGGTCCTCAGTCAGCCTTCAGGTCTGGAATTGAAATTTCCTTTGTGGCTCAATTTTCAGCCAAATAGTAGATAGATCTATAGAGGGAACACCAACACTACTGAGGTATGCACACCATGGAATGGTCAACCAGTCAAGATCATAAGGACAGAATTTGCCTAAGGACAAAATTTAGAAGACTTGAAAAAGAAGGTAGAATGGAAACAAACATCACAGTAAGACTGTGGGATCAGTGATATTACATTGAGAGGGTTACAATCACTGAAATAAAACTAATATGATTGGTTAAATGTAAAAGTGATCATCTACTTTGTAAACCTACACTCAATTCATATAAAAGTTAACAAAATGACCCTTGTTTGATGAGAGGAATGAGCAGGAGCATTATTGTAGTAGAGAATGACTCTCTAATGAGGGATTCTATGGCATGTTTCCGGGAAAACTTTGGCTAACTTTTTCAAAACACTTCTCATAATAAGTAGATGTCATTGTTCTTTGGCCTTTCAGGAAGTCAATAAGCAAAATGTCTTGAGAATCCTCAAAAACTGTTGGCATGAACTTTCTCTTGACCTCTTGTTCTGCTTTTCTTTGACTGGACCACTTCCACCTCTTGGGAGCCATTGCTTTCATTGCGCTGTGTCTTCAGGATCACACTGATAAAGCCATGTTTCATTTTCTGTTACAATTCTTTCAAGAAATGCTTAGGGATTTTAATTCCACTTGTGCAAAATTTCCATTGAAACCTCTGCTCTTATCTGCAGCGGCTCTGTGCACAATGGCTTTTATCACTCATTGAGCAGAAAGTTTACTCAGTCAGACAGATTACTTTAATCTGTCAGTCAGAATTGTATGAACTGAACCAATTGAAATATCTATGGTGTCGACTAATGTTTATGCTGTTAAATGTAGTGAATTATTTAACGTTTGTTCTAGCCATAGTCTTTGTAAACTTCCACCAAACAACTTTTTCCTAATGGTTAAAAGAAGGTGGGGGAGGATGCTGATGGATTATATGATTCACCTGTAAAATGACTATTAGCAAGATTAATTGTGAAAACCTGGAACTCTTACATGGGTATAAAATGAGTCATCTCAGAAGGAGAAGAAGGAATCCACTACCAGAAAAGATGAAGAGCTAGGAGTGGTGTGCATCCACTCCTCATATATGGGTCCCCAGATACCTGTGCACTGACCATCCTCAACCCAGAGACAGCTATGACACAAGAGGTGTGGCCTAGGAGTAGCAGCAGAACAGCAACAGCAGAATCAAAAGTCAGAGCACAACACAGAATGGTGGGCTTCTCAGTACATGGAGCAAGTAAAGCTGAGTGACTTTGGGCAGGAGACTTGTTGCAGAACAGAGCGCCTCCAGGCACTTAATGAGGGGAGCTAGGTTTGCTCCTCCATGGAGATAGAGCTGAGGTTTAAAGTGGATTGGGCATTTATCAGCCACCCTAAAAAAACTATGCTCTGAGCATTTCTGACCTGTTCATTTCGCTAATAAACCTCATAAATGTGACTATGGTATTGAAGTTCTAGATGACCATTGCAATAAATTATCGAAACCAACTGAGTAGAGGGTTATGGGCAGAATGGTTGGTGCCATTTTTAATTTTTTTTTTTTTTGCATTGTCAGTCCTCTTCAACTAGGGCATGAGCAAGATTAATTATTTTTTCCCCACTAACTGATGTGGATGGTCTGCACTGCAGGCTTCATCTTCAACATTTTCTCACCCCTTCTTAAAACAAGTTATCCACTTGTAAACTGCTGATGTCTTTGAAGCATTGTACCCAAAAGCTTTAGTAAAGCACTGATGATTTCACCATTCTTCCACTCAAATTTCACCATAAATTTGATGTTTGTTATTGCTTCAATTTTTTTTTTTTGCTAGTCAGTCTGGTTTAATCCAATATGGCGTTTTCAGGATAGGAGATTCACATGCAAAAGAAGGTTACAAATACCCCAAACTCTGGCTCAATCACAAGGCCTCTTGGGTCATAGGAAATGCCATTTGTTTAAAAAAAGCTATTTTGTATAAAATAGTTGTATAAAAGTTACAACATCCCACTGAGGCTACATACACATTTGAAGTCCTTGGGTGACACAGAAGGTTGTGGGGTGACACAGGAGATGGTCAGGAGACTGGCTCTGGTGTCCAACAATATGTGGTTCTGAGTGTCCAAGGAGCTGTCAGGAAGAGAGGGAGTGGCTGGGCCTGCCCAGCTGTCCACGACACTGCCCCTGTGACACCACCTGGTCCCATTTTGTGGAGCTGGTCAGCCCGTTGGTGAACTTTTCTTTGATGCAGTCTTAGACCTACAATAGCCATCTTCACCCAAAAGAGACATGTTGTTTTCAAGGGTGTCAGTTACCGGCACTGAGAAAAGAGGGAAGACATGCTCCTTGAGCTCTTAGAAGGTTCATTCTCAACTAAGTGCTTGACTGAATATGCATACCAATGCAGGAGCCCACCCTCCCTCCCCTGACCCTCCTCCGCCTGGCAGCTTGAAAAGCTCCACCTGACCCTAAGATCAGAGCATGAGTGAAAACTCAAGGCTTTGCTCCCTTGTGCTTTCGCAGAGAGGTTAAATAGCATAAGGTCCATGGGACAGGGATGAGTGAGGGCTAGGATAGCCAAGGTACCCCCATGTGCAGAGGGGTTAAATAGTGCTAAGCCAGGGGACGTAGTAAGTCACAGGTATCTTGTATCCTGGACTCCGGAATGTACACCTCGCGCCTGTGGGGAGGCCCATTCGGTCATTCCCACTGCTTCACAAGAAGTCACAGTTTCCTCCCAACATGGTCCCCTGGTCACGCTGCCAGGCAGCTTGGGCTGGAAGGTTTGGGAGTGAGGGCCCCAGGTGGCTCAGCTTGCCAGGCACAGGCAGGCCTTCAGTCGGAGTCAGAACCCGAATTCTCTTCTCCTCCTTTGTCACTATCTTCCGGCCACGTTGGGTGGGAGCATCTGGTCCCTGTCTGGGTCTCATCCATGGAGTCTCCTTGTTTGAGGAATGTGGCGACCTCATTAAAGATCAAGTAGAAGCCAATTGCAAACACGATAGTGGCAAAGAAGCCAAACACCCCGGCTGCCTTGGAGGCCCCGTCAGAGTACTTGGTGACAGCAGTGATGGAGATGATGAAGTAGATGAGGGCCGCTGTAACACAGCGCAGGAAGTCCATCATGGGCCAACACAAGCCTTGCCACTTGTCATTCAGCTGCTTGGCATCAGCGAAGAGGAAGAATATGGCCAGCAGGAACTCCAGCAGGGGCGCCATGAGGAAGGCGGGAGCTGAAGATGCTACATAGCAGACAAAGGTGATGAAGGAGAGACCTGACTCGGCCAGTAGGAGGCAGGCTTTGCGCGAGCGGAGGAAGGCGCGCGAAGGCAGCAGGGCTCGGAGTCCGGCAGCGGGGCCCGGGGGCCACATGGCGGCGGCGGCAGGGGCCAGGGCTCGGCCACCCTCGTTCTCACCCCGTGGCGGGAGGGAAGCCTATTGCTTCAATTTTAACAGAATTCATGTTGCTCTGATAGAAGCTCTTCTCAAACATGTGTCATATCCTTCTTAGTGCCTCAAACAGATCCTGTTCAGACATGTTATAGCAAGCTAGTATGAGTTTATTTTGGTGGGCAGAGATTTTGAAATTTATGCGTAGTTTTCTCATAATATGCATGTTCCATAAACATTTTGAAGACCCGTCATATACGATGCAAACATTAATATCTTGAGTGGTGTTTTTAATGTTTCCCAGGTAGTTTGCTAAATAATATTCTAACAAGAATTATTATCTAACGTTGTTTTGTTCTATTCAAAAATAAGTAAATAACTTCAGCTTTTGGTTGTTTTATATTGCAATTGGCACAGATTTTTGTTTTGCCTTGTTTTTTAATGACCTCTTTCCCAACTACAGGGAAACCTTAGTGCTCATAAATAGAAAAAACAAAAAGGAGGATGGTGAGCACTGGCTGGACTCTAAACATTGGGCATGCAAGTTGTTGCTACACAAGTTTCCCGATCTGGATTTGAATCTCAGGGGCCAGAACTGCGTGTGTTCCACAAAAGGCCCTTTGAAATCCCTTTCCCTTCCTTGTCTGAGGAAGCTGGAGCTGACTGACCTTTGAGGGACAGCCGCAATGGTGTGGTTTGGCTTCTGATTTCCCATGAAGGCTGTGAGCCATGCTCGTCTGTCTGGGCTCTGCTGCCGGCTTTCTCCATTATATTTAGCTCTTTGGTTATTTTCCTAATGAGCTGTTTGTTTGCCTCCAGCCTTCCAGCTAGAAGATGAATGTGTTAAATCATAGACTAAAGTACCCAGCTCTCAAGGCTTACAAGGAGTTGTTCTATATGTTTTGAAATCTAACCACTCTAGAGCTCTTGCTCCTGCTGTGTGTTTATTCTGTTTGGCTCTTGGCTGGGCAGTGATGCTATTCTCTAACTAAAGTTGTCACCAGCCTTATGCCTACATTCCCCCAAATGGCCACTTCTTTCGATGCCTTCCCCTCTTCATTCTACTCTGCTGGATGGGCTAAAGTAGCTAACATAAAGACTAAGCACATTCTTAATCAATTGCCATTAATTGATTAATTGAGTTGATTTAAACTCATAGTGACACTACAGGACAGGACAGAACTACCCTGTAGGGTTTCTAGGCTTGTAGACCGGCACATCTTTCACCTGCAGAACCACTGGTGGGTTTGAGAGGCAGAGCTTTAATCAGTTCATTGGGCTCCTTAGCACATGCTTAGATGAAGCAATTCACAAAGTAAAATGAAAATTTTTATCAAACAGGAAGAAGTTTTTAGTATTTATATTGTGGTTCTATATGTTACTGTGTGATTCTGACTCCTAGAGACGCCATGTAAATAACTATCTTATAGAGTTTCCTAGGCTGTTTTCCACCAGCCCCTCTTTGGAAAGCCAACACGACAGGGCCCTTGGAAAACCTACCCAAGGGTATTATGAGTCGGAATGGATTCAATGTCACTTACTTAGCAACAACAATCTTTATATGATAATAGATCACCAGGTCTTTTATCTCTCTGAGCTACTGAGTAGGTTTGAACCGCTAGCCTTTCAATGAACTATTTGTTGCTTTTGGCTATTTTATAGCCTTTTCAAAAAACAAGATAGTATCAGAAGAATCCAGATTCAAAGGGGAAAAATGTAGAGAGTTTCAAATTCTCATTGACTCCTGACTTTCTGATGGTAGAGGAACTGGATAAAGCCTTGCAACTACGCCTTGAGATAATCTTTAATCTTAGACTGAACATATCCCCTGAAGTATTCTTAAAACCAAAACTAGTAAAAAAAAAAAAAAAGTCTGCCTTGAGCATTATGCTCTTTAAAAAAAATTATCTATATGAGATCAAATTGACAGCAACAACTCAAAAGATTAGATAGAAACTTTAGGGGACAGTGCATTTATGCTAACGACAGAGGAATAATTCAGAAAAGGAGTGTAAGCATGTTCCCACAGTTCAAAGAATGTAACTACTGTTACTAAATGGCACGTATAGAAACTGCTGAATCAGTGTATGTTTTGCTGTGTATATTCTCAACAATAACAATATAGATAAAACTATGGTGGTGGTCGTGGCTGTGTGCCGTGGAGTCGGTTCTGACTCATAGCGACCCTGTACAGGGTTTCCGAGGCTGTAAATATTTACCGAAGCAGAACGCCTCATCTTTCTCCCACGGAACAGCTGGTAGTTTCGAACTGCTGACCTTGCGGTTCGCAGCCCGATTCGTAACCACTATGCTACCAGAGCTCCTAGACATGTAAAAAAATCTTTGTTCAAAAGCAAAGCTGTCACTCTGAGGGCTAAGGTGCACCTGACCCAAGCCATGGTATTTTTAGTAACCTCATATGCATGTGAAAGGTAGACAATGAATAAGGAAGACCATAGAAGATTTGATACATTTGAGTTATGGTGTTGGAAGAGAATGTCAAAGGTACCATGGATTCCCAGAAGAACAAACAAATCTGTATTAGGAGTAGAGCTAGAATGCTCCTTAGAAGCCAGAATGGCCAGAGTTCATCTCATACTTTGGGCATACAATCAGGAGGGACCAGTCCCTGGAGAAGGACATCCTGCTTGATAAAGTGGAGGATCATCGAAAAAGAGAAAGACCTCCAATGAGATGGATTGGCACAGTGGCTACAGCAATGGGCTCAAGCTTAGCAATGATTGTGAGGTTGGTGCAGAACCGAGCAGTGTTTCATTCTATAGTACATCAGGTCACTGTGAGTTGATACTGGCTCAACAACTCCTAACAACAACAACAATAATTTTAAAAACACGATATATGAGAAGAATCCTGATCAAAGCGGGGGCAATGTAGAACAAAATTTCAAATTCTCATGAACTCTAGGCTTTCGGAAGCCATGGAGGCTGGGTGGGGAAACCTTGAAACTACTGCTCTGATAAAAATCTTTAAACCTTACAGCAAAAATATTCCCGGAAGTCTTTTTAAAACCAAACAATAGTTTAGCTTAACTAGCGAAAAAAAATTATCTGCTTTGAGTGTTATGCTGTTTTAAGGACTAACCATGTGGGGTCAAATTGACAATAGCAACTCAACAGATTAGTTAGGAACTTTAGGGGATAGTGAATTTCTGTCAATGAGGATTAATGACTCAGAAAAGGAAAGCCAGAATGATTGTACTACTGGAAGAATGTAATCAATGTCACTGAAGTTTACGTGTGAAAATTATGGAATTGGTGAATGTTTCGCTGTGTATATTCTTAACAACAAAATAAGATTTTAAAATGCTACCTAGAAGAGTGAGGGAAAATACACCTAATATTTTTTATTCATGGGGACTTCAAAGGTCTTCGTCAGATCTGCTTTCTAGTCTTACAGTTTGGTGTTCCCCACCCAGGAAGCCTTCCATTGAAAGTATGTGACTCAGAGAAGTTAAGCCTGTTCAAAATCTGGGACTGGTGAATCTCCATCTGTCTTAACATGCAAGATTTAGCCTCTATTGTTTTACTCTTACACAGCTCCAGTTACCCAGGGAAATTGTACTAAATGGTACTTTCTGAGTCCTCAAAGATAAATGACAACAGTTTGTTCCTTACTTCCATAGTAGCTTGGACTCCTCATTTTCACGGTGTGATCAATATCAAAGTATATATGGATTACACATGTGAAAAATTGTATGCCCCCAACCTCTCAGGTCCTGTAGAAGACATAAATGTATTTTTAAATAAGGTTCTACAAGACCCACTATCTAAAATGAGCATTTGCATTTTTAAAACCTAGGCTATAAAAGCTATAAAGAGGTACAAAAAAGTACCTCTTTAGGAGATTCTGTGTAAGCAACTTTTCCCGTAAACAATGAGAAGCTTTTAGCTTACCAAGATGGAAGAGCCTGCTGACGATACATCCATGAGGATGAACTCAGATTGGCACATAGTTATTGTGGGTAAATGTTTGGACCTTTTCTGCTTAAGCAATACCAGATGTGTGACAAATACTTAGAGAAGATTCGGGGTTGATTGAGCAACTGTGAGATATCGCCAAATACGATTTGTGCACTTGATTTAAAAAAATATTGCTACATGAAAAAATACGAATTTGCACCAAGAGTAAATTAAGTGGAGAGTTTACATCTTTTAACAAAATCACACCAGCTTTAAAGAATATACTACATTCCCCAAAGCCTTAAAAAATATAAAGTATAAAATAGATAAATAGAACCTTAAAAAGTAGAAACAAACAAACAAACCCATTGAGTTGATTCTGACTCATAGCAAACCCTGTAAAGGGTTTCTGAGGCTATAAATCTTTACAGGAGCAGATAGCCTCATCTTTCTTCCAGGATGCTGCTGGTGGGTTTGAACTTCCAAGCTTGCAGTTAGCAGTCTGGTGCTTATCCTACAGCTTAGCCAGGGGTTCTTATAAATATATCGGTTTTTAAATGTAGCTTATATACAGCTTTTATGAATAATTTTGGGGGAAAATAAAACAAATGATCTGATTTATAGGGAGGATTTTCAAAAGGTTATCATCAGTGCTTAAACAATCCATACATATCCCTACCCTGTCACACTGCCTAGTCTTCCCTTGGTAACTTTGTGCTGAGTAAGAACAAAGGGACAGAAGTTGCAAGATCCGCTGGGCATTATGGGCCTTCTCTTCCTGCCCTGAGAGAATGAAATCATGGGCTTGGGAATTTTGTAAACATGAGGTTCTTGCTCAATGCTCTGGGGAAGGCAGAGGCGAAAACTCCTCCGTTTCCAAAATTGAACAGTCAGCCCTGGTTTGAACCATGGGATTCAACTGCACCAGAAGAAACCTGGGTGGCCACACCGTGATCATGTCAAAACAAAACATGCGAGCAATTTGAGTCCATTTGTCCTGCAAACTTTAGATGGGAATTAGTGGGAGGAAAGGCTATGGTAGCCCCATCCTCTTAGTCCTCA